GAGGATGTCCCTAAGCAATGTAGGTATGGGATTCCTGGATATGAAAATCTTGACAGCATTCACATCTATAAGTTGATCGGGATTTGGGAACAAAACCAAACCATAGATAAGGAGTGCCACAATCTCTTCAAAGGCTTGTAGATCAAGAGAATTCCAGCATTCTCGTGCCTTCTCAAACAGAAACTTTACCAAGAATCCTTTGATACCACTTTTGGTTTCCCAATGCCCCTTGATGTCAGATGGTTGTAAGCGTAATGCTTGAGCAACATCTTCAAGTTTTGGTTCCTTTTCCATACCGTTGTAGGGTAGTTAACTAAGAATAGGAATTCTCAGGAGTTGAGAAAATTCCTCTAAAGTAGGCACCAATTGATAATCAGGGAATGTGAAACAGTGGTGTAGGGGGTCAAAGAACTGGAAGAGAACTTTCATCATGTCTTCTTCAATGTTGGTGTTGACCAAGCTGAGGAGTCTACCATGTCTTTCACTGAAGAGAGAATTCTCGGGAATCCTGGATGTAAGCTCTTTGAGTTGCAGAGGGACCCTTACAAGGTTAACTTGAATTGTTTTCCTGCGGAGAGACTCCATGTCCTGCAAAACAAGAACAAAGATGAAGATCTAAACCCTTGAAATGGTTAGCAGATGCATATGATGCTTTATGATGTATGAAAAAACACATGTACAAGCAAGTCACACCAAAAACCCTAGTTTCAGGCTTGCAGGAGGTTTCATAGGCAAGTACCCTCTTGATTGTAGTTGGCTCAAAAACCTGTCCTATAAATAGTAACCGGGTTCTAAGGAGCTCAATATCATTGGATTGTTTTCTCTGTTCATTGTTTTGGTTTAGCCACTTAATTGGCGACCAAAATATTCCAAGAAAACAATCCTCAATGAGTGTAGTATCGAGTATCTACCAACTTCGGACTGCACCAAAGTCGGTCATCTCACTACCCCTAAAAAGGCCAAGATGGTCAAGTAAGGTTCTGGGTCATTAGTGCTTAGTGACATCACTCAGCGGCCCCGTATTCTCTTTGATTGACTCAAAGGCTACCGGTACTTACAAATATGTCGCACTAATATAGCTATTGCTTCAACCGTGTCGGTATTCCCCGCACAGTTTCCACAACGTATTGCTATCTATGAATGTTTCCCAAAATCCGGGTGGAGGATTTATAGATCTCCGATACAAGCCCACAAAATTAAAAGCATACAAAGCAATACAAATGAAAACACAAGTGATCTAGTCCTAAGGTACACCTCACTTATATAATAATCCCCAGCAGAGTCGCCAGTTCTGTGATCGGTGGGAACGAGAACTGACTGTTTTTGGAATACTGGTTCGCGTTTGCGTTTGTTTTTGCAAAGTGTCGCGGTAAGCAAGAGTCGCCACCGTCTTTTATTTTATCCAACAAGGGAAAGGACAAAAGCACAGAAAAAATTCCTTTTCGAGATTGTTTCTTGGGTTCGGGAGGTAGATTATAGAAAGGGAAGGTATTAGCACCCTTTCTATCCGTGGTTATCCACGGGCTCTTAGGTACTTGCTCACTATGTTTTCAAAAGGTCTGCTTTTCTTTGTGATTGTGGGTTTTGAAAAGAGTTTTGTTTTTTAATGAAAGTGTAAGTGCGAAAAGTTTTTGTTTTGTTTTAAAAGAGAGCAAGTACTTAAGAACATCTACCTACTCGAAAAGGAATTAAACTGTGCAACTGTCCTTTAGACAGTTCTATCCCACTATTGAGGAGTAGGTAGCACCGTCGTTGGAGTTTTCCGGGTCAATTCGATTTAAGGGACTTGTGGTCACTAAAGCAACATTAGGACACTTTAGTGGTAATCCTAATGTCTTAGATCATTTTTATCGAGGCAACCATTTCGAGGCAACTTATGATCTTGGGACAAAAAGGACGACCTCTAAAACATCCTATACTTAATGACCACATTTGAGGCAACCAAATGAGGTGTACCCTAGGAGTGGCATGTGCAAGTGTGTCAATTTTCAGTTTATATTATCTTTGTATTTTTAGGTGTTCTACCATTTGTTTTTAGATCTTGTCATACAATCCTAGTTAGCATACATCTAAGCAGTTAATATATGTACAGGAATTTAAAGTGCAGGAACTGTAAATACTACACTATTACAAGGCTTCGGGGAGGGGATTATTTACATGTCCAAAATTGGGGGAATAATAAGCAGTTACGATAAAATAAACGCGCATGAAACTTAAAAAATAAACCTAGCATATAATCTTTTTGTTGTTTTATTTTATTTTTTTGAGAAAATGCTAAATATTTAGTTAAGTCAAATTTAATTAATTAAAAAAAATACTGATTAAAATTTATTCTAAAACAAACCTAATATTTTTTGTATTTTTGTTTATAAAAAAAAGATTGAATTTGAATAAAACCTAAGTCTACCGATTTTAAAATTGGAGAAAATAAGTTAAAATGATTAATTAAATTAAATCCTAATTCTAAGTTGTTTATTTTTTATGATTTTGTAATTAGAATTGAAACTAAAAGGAATAAACGGAAACAAAATAAACAGAGTACAAATGGGCCAGGCAGCAAAATAAGAAGAAAAAAAGTAATTCTGGAGGCCTGGGTCGAAAGAGAGGCAGACTGTCTTTCGACCCAGTGAATAGGCTGGATCGAAGGTACATGAGGGGCTGCACTCTGAGGGGATTCGATCTGGACATGTCATCCTTCGAACTGGAAGTCCTGGGTCCAGTTCGAAGATAAACTGTTGAGCTTCGAAGCTTTGAACAAGAAGCTGAGCACGAGGTTCCTGCAAAACGAAACAGATATTAAAAGTCCAGGGGGGACTTAACCCCCCTGGTTCGAATCTCCTCTTATTCGCACCTGCTGATCCTGGGTCTGGGTTTGTTTTATCCTGGGATTCGAAGGATAAACTCAGATTGTGCCTAAGCAATGGCATAATCTCAACTCTGCATTGTAGCTCACATGAAGCACATTAAATCATTCACAAACAGAAATAAAAATATGAATATGCAATCGAAATGTATTTGAGAGTGAGCTTGAGATTAGATTTTTCTTTTACCAAACAGAGGTGCTTCGATCTGTAGTTCTGAGGGGGGAGGCGTTCGCTGGGTGGCAGCTTTGGCTTGGAAAATTCTGGGCAGCGTCTCTCCAAGTTCTCTATTTTTCTGTATCTTCTTCCTTCTCTTTTTTTTTGCAGCATTTGTGATTTCTTTATATAGAGGGGGTGGAGGGGACAGGAAGACAAAGGTTTAAATGACCTTGAATATGTGTTTTGACAGCCATGAAGGAGGATTCGTAACGTTAATCATGTGTTTGAAAGCCATGAATGAGAGTTTGTAACGTTGGCTAAACACATGGGATTCTGTCCTTTTTTTGAATGACATGTAGCTGGCCTTCGAACACTCCCTTTCGAATGGGCTGATGGCCTCCTTCGAATGCTCCCTTTCGAATGGGTTGATGGCCTTTTTCGAATGCTCTTCGAAAGCTTCTTCGAATGGACCCTTTGAATGCTTCTTCGAATGGACCTTTGTGGAATTCCAATCGAAGGACATTATTCATAATGCTAATCGAAAGGCTCCTTCAGAACACCAGTCGAAGGGCCTTTCAGAATGCCAATCGAAGTGCTTGTCCATAATGCCAATCGAAGTGCTCCTTCAGAATGCCAATCAAAATGCTCCTTCAAAATGCCAATCGAAGGGTTTTTTCAGAGTGCCAATCGAAATGCTTCTTCAGAGTGCCAATCGAAACGCTCCTTCAGAATACCAATCGAAAGGTTTTTTCAGAGTGCCAATCGAAATGCTTCTTCAGAGTGCCAATCGAAACGCTCCTTCAGAATACCAATCGAAATGCTCCTTCAGAATTCCAATCGAAGGATCTTTCAGAATGCCAATCGAAGTGCTTCTTCAGAATGCAAATCGAAGCATCACTCAAAAAATTTCCTTTTCCTTAGGCAAGAGTTTGTGATCAACCATGCAAGGGAAAGGCTTTGGGAAACATGAGAGGGCAAATTTTGGGGTGCAACAATATGACAGCGTTTTTCCAGGCAAAAGCGCTGCTAAAAGACCACCTATGAAAGCGCTTTTCCAGAAAAAGCGTTGCTAAAAGCCTACCTAAGACAACGTTTTTCCAGAAAAAAGCGTTGTCTTAGGTATACCTATGAAAGCGCTTCTTCATAAAAAAGCGCCGCCAAAAGCCTACTTAAGAGAGCGCTTTTTAGAAAAAGTGTTGTATTAGGTAGACCTACGAAAGCGCTTTTCATTAAACAAAAAGCACTGCTAAAACCTATAGCAGCGCCACCTACGAAAGCGCTTTTAAAGGCAAAAAAAAAACGTTTTCGTAAGTCTTTTTTGGCGTAGTGAATATAATATCAAAAAGGGAAACTCAACAAAATAAAAAGGAAAAAAACTCACCTGAGAGCAACAACAGATAGCAGCCGCAACAAATGAAACGTGAAATAACACAGAAAAAACCTAATTTTTAATAATTCAATAAAGACAATCTTGAAATTAAAAATACAATTGAAGATAAATTAGAGAAAATAATAAAATTCTAATAAATGAATCTTCTCTCCCCCTCCAAATTCCTCCAATTTGGAGATGAGCAAAAAATAAGTCAATGAGAGATCTTATAACAAAAATCAAACAAATATATTTATAAATATCCTTTCTCCTTTCCTCCTCTCTCCTCCATCTACTCTCAACCAAATGGAGCCTTATACTCGATTGCTAGTCTTAGTGACGTTGGAGCGATATGCTCTTGTTTTGTTGTTGGATTGAGTTTCTTCTAATTCAGATCAATACTTATAAAATCAAATGGATTAGATGTAATTTGAATATAAAAAATAACTTACAAGGGATATTATGATGGCTGAAAAGTATATGCAAAGAATATAATTTATAAGATTGAATTGCAATAACCATGCATGTTTTTTTATATTTCTAAATTAGTTGAGTATGTACTTTGCCAGTATGCATGACTCCTGAAAATCACCATAATCAAAACTTCACCATCACGCCAATCCACTTTGCATGACAGTACCAAGTGGAGCCATATTCATATTTATGCTGTGATGATTTGCACTCACAGGCGGTGGAGGGGCAGCACCAGCACCAGCGCGACAAATAGGGCAACTCGAATGCGAATGGAGCCACGTATCAATACACGGTACATGAAAAGAGTGCAAGCACTCCGGCATAGTCCTCAACTCCTCACCCTCCTCAAAATCTCCCAAACACACGGCACAGGTGTCACCTTCATCATCCGAAACAGCATCAACTTTATCTCTTTTGTGGTACTTGTGTGTTGGAATTCGGTGTACTACAGGTACTGATGAGGTTGTCCTTTCTTCGAGGCTCCGTGTGGCAGCGTGATGCGGTGGTTGCAGTTGGTTTTCATTTGTTGTTCTTCCTCGGTGACACAAACAAATGGCTATGAGATGGTACACTGAAGAAACAACAAATGCTATTGAAACTAAGAAAATAATTTGGAAAATAACCTTGTGACCAAAAATAGGGTCACCCTCATCATTTTCCATGAATCAATGATCATGCAATGCTAGAAAGAAAGAAAGAAAGAAATGGTTGTGATGTTAATTAAACCTTATAAGAAGGGACATAGCCGGCCAAAGACGGCGTATTTTATCTTATACTGATAATATCATAATGAAATTGTCTTAATTAATGATTAATCTAACTATATAGTCGTTTTCTTGATTTGTTCACACTAGAAACAAAAATGTGATTACTTGTTGATTAATTAATTACAATTGGTAGGAAATTCATGACATTGATTGAACGATGATACATATGGATAAAATTATTATATTTAGCAAGAGGACACCCGTTTCAAAGTTTGAACAACTTTATTAATTTATTTCCTAACGAATTTAATATGAAAGTTTATAAAGTAAAGAATTAGCAAATGTTTACACTTCTTGATAATCTTGTGAAACTCTGACAAAATCAATTGTTGGCTATTTACATTATCTGTTACGCTTTTAAAATCTATCTCGAAATCGACTCTATCTAAATCGAGTTCATAATCCCATTTGATTGCTACTAGAAGGTTCAAAGTCTCCTCCATATAAGCCTCAGTAATAGGTGATGCCGACTCTATCCAAGTTATAATAAATTGTCATATTCATCTCGTATACAAACACATATCCCTACCTTATTAAAAGTCTTTGAAAAGGAAGCATATGTATTACATTTGAGACGATCTCTCTAATTTTTCCTAATATTATGTATATGGATCATTGATTTCTTATTTGATTTTAAGGGGCAGCTTTGTACACCCCATAGGATGCTAGCGCACCCTAGTGAAAATCATAGATGCCCCTCAAATTTGGATATGCATCTTCAGACACACCTTAAAATACACATCTCAACACTTCCTAAGTGAGTCGCCTCTATTTTTTTCAAAATTTTGTCTGGAGATGCATCTTCGTATCAATGTTAGGTTACTCCGTAAGATGCGTCTTTGTATCATTCAATCCAAGTGCATACACTTCACGCCATTCAATCTTTCTCAACTACTCACATTTGGTAAATTTCTCTTCACTTTCCTTTTTTTAGATTTGATGCATGCATTAGTTGATAAGTTGTTTAAGTGAGAGGTGTGTGTTTGGTTTATTTGTATTCGAAGGTAGGTGAAGTTTGTCGTTGGAAGACAATTAACATGAAGTTGCATGTTTTTTACGATAATATGTTTGAACATTAACTGTTATTAACATGTCATAACACTTTTGCAACTTTATTACTAATATTTTATCTTAATCATTTTTAGGCATAGATCCTCTGTCACTTTCCTTGCGCATATCCAACTAGGAACTTGATGATAGTTACAATGAGGATTGGCCATGTGTTTGCTCTTATATCCCACTCAGAGAGAATCAGATGATAGGATCATTTTGAGTATTTATTGATCGCATTGTAGCAGATGATATATGATACATCTTATAAGAAGATCACCATCAAACGCGTCCCTTGGATGAGATAGCCTTCTACTCTTGATGGTTGACTTGTGGATCGCGCCTGATGTATCCACATATGTCTGATTGGGTCATGCGTCAGTTCGAGTTTCTCCTATTTATTCCAAGACTTCTCTATGTGTTCGCTGCTAAGATCTTGATGTCATACTCGATGATTTCTATAATCAGATGATGTCATATGATGCACGCAGTGTGCCAACTACATTTATCGCCCGCTGCATTCGGCTACATCTAATGGTTCAATAATGTTTCACATACTTACATAACACAAGATGTTGTAGGAGTACCACCTATGTCAGCTCATCAAAAGATATTGGAAGAGGAATATGCTAGAGATGACCACTCCTAGGACGTGTTGTCGGCATGTCGATGTATTGTAAAGCTTGTAAGAGATGCTTTAAAGAGAGGAGATTTTGAGGAAAGTTGTTCTAGTATTTTTTTTTAATTTAGATATACACAGCAGTTCATTTTTATTTGTATTTTGAATAGTTGTATTATTTGTACTTTCTAAATAAATTATGTATCATGATAATGTTTTTGATCTTACCTGATCAGACTTGGACCGTCACGACTGACTCCGAGCTGAAGTTGAACGAGATGGGGGGGTACCTGCAAGGCACTCCGATGCTAAAGTGAGTGGCAGTACGAGCAGGCAAAAAGTATGTATATGGGTAAGAGAATGAATACCTGGCCCTCTTAGAACAGAGGGTATTTATAGCCCCCAGCGCTGGGCCAAGGTCCCTTCATTGGGCCGACCAGGATTGGCCCAACAAAGGAACTGCCAGGTTCTACGTGTATAGTGGGGACCCGCACGTGGTCTCCTTCCTGGTGATGCTCTGCGAGAAGTACGGACGGATAAGGACGCGGTCTTTTCAGAGTTCAGGTGATGGGGTAATGGTCATAGTCTGCCCTACGAGGAGGGTGCTCGAGTTGGGCTCGAGCTGGATTGTATGTGGTCGACGACGTTGTGTTCGCAGGCACGGCGGGCACGGCTGTAGCTTTTGGTCGACGCGCTCCTTGTAGAGTTGTTTGGATTGGGCCTTCATTCTTACTCTTGGGCCAACCCGGGCCCAGTCCAGAACAGGAGCCCCCCAAGTCGTGGCTCCTGGAGCAGGAGTTATGACTTGATCTTAGCCCGCCCTTGTCACGGGGTCTCATGCTCGGCCAGGAGATTTGGTTCCCCGTGGTTGCTTGAGGAGCTTCTCCTGTGTCGCGTTCGTGAGATGATTCCTTTCGAGGAGCGCTCGGGGGATTCTCGATGGGCTGTGTTCGTTGGGTACACGAGGCAACCCTTGGGAACCGTGACGCCACCCTATTGAAGATAGAGCCATCATTGCCTAGGGGAGCTATGCATCGAGGAGGGGAATTTCGTGGTTCCCTGGGGTGACGTTTCGTATTCCACGTCATCACTATAAATAGGATCCTTGGGTCCCATAATATGTTTTTCCTCTTCGCGCTTCTCCTCCTTCCTCTGCCTTTGTTGCTGCTGTTTTCCAGATTTTCATAGGATTGTCGTGCTTTCTGCTGTCGATTTTCTTCTCTGCCGCCGTACCTCTTTTCTGATTTCAAGTAAGCGTCTCATCCGTCATGTTTTTCTCGGTGGTAGATGATTTTTTTCATGTTAGAAAATCTGCGTCTGGGATTAGCCCCGGTACATTCGTATTTTTGCGTGGCATATCCATGTTTATGCCCGGTAAACGCATGTTTGTGCCCGGTAAACGTATAGTTTAGGTATGTGACTCGCAATGCTGCCCGGGATCTTCATGATTCAGGGCGCCTAACTCGTGATAGTGCCCGGTAAACTCATAGTTATAGGTTTAGGATTCATGATATTGCTCGTCATATCCATAACTTAGGTCGACGTACTCGTGACTGGCCGGGATGTTGGCCCATTTAAGCAGTATGTAGGACGACTTGTCGTGGCATCTTGGCGTCGGGGAGGTGATACCAGACTTTTGTTCGACTCCTCAATGTTTTAATCGTGTGTGGAGTATGACTCGGCCTGTCGTGCCCTTCTTCCCGTCAGTTATGGCGAGCGTATGGATTTGCTCCCCAATTGACCGGTTTCCTGTGCTTTACAGGTATCAATGGCTGATGAACCGTGTTCCTTGGGGCGCAACGAGGTGGAAGACCAAAGCGCTGAGGAAAATGTGAATCTGATCGATACCATTAACGATCCTTTGCTATAGTGGGTAGGCGCCGAGCCCAGAGGGATTGCTTCTGCTTATAGTCGACGCAGTAGGAGCGCGTATACTATCGTCGAGCAGGGCGGTAGCCAGCCAGGCTCTCAGAAGAATTTTGTCGTCACCAGACCGTCTCTTAACGCGCAGATCTGCTCAGAGTTCTCTGAGTACGGGTTTCCTATGTATGAGATCGCGTTTAAGGACCTTGGCCTAAAGCTCCCCTTTAGTGATTTTCAGGTCGGGGTCTTCAGTCATTTGGAGCTGGCCCCCTCGCAGCTTCACCCCAACTCGATTGCTTTTCTTCAGGCATTCGAACTGACATGTCACTTTTTAAGGATTGGGGCGACCATACCTCTTTTCTTCAGAGTCTTCCATTTACAGCGCCAGTCTCGGGGAGGTAGGCACAGTTGGGTTTCCTTGAAACAGTCGAAGAGGCTGTTCAGGATGTATATGGATTATGTCTGGGGGTTTAAGGACAAATGGTACATCGTGTGGTCGGTCACTAATACTGCTCTAGAGTCTGTATACGAGGAATAAACTGTGGTGACCGACGATCACGGGGAGGCTCTTCTGGACGACCAGGGTCGCCCGGTGTTGGGGCGTTTAGCTAAGTTTCCCTTGCATTGGAGCTCGCGCCACTACGAGCATGGCACCGGGCATTACCATACGCCCGCGGGCGGGATGAGCACCGAAGATGAGGAGGCATATGGTACTCTCTGCAGATATGTCGACAGTTTCTTTCCTGCCCGGTGGGCCACGAGGGAGGGAAAGGACATTCTCGACGAAGATGGTTACCCGACCTTTGAGGCCCGACCTATAGATACGAAGGCGCTTGTGGAGTGTCAGTCCTACGGGCAGGCCGCGAACCTGCTAGGTTATTTTTTTGTCTTATAGTCTTGTTCGAATTTCGTCGTTTGTTATTTGCTCGTAACTAACTCGGGCTTCTTTTTTTTGCAGGTCACATGGCTGGACGAAAGGAGAGGCTTCTAAAGTTGACACAGGATAAGAAAGTCAACAAAAGAGTGGTGCGCGCTCCTCAGACGACGAGGATGGGCCCGCCAACTAGCTCGGGTGATGCTTCTGGAGGGTCCCCGGACGCTCAAGATATCGAGCCCCATATTGATCTGATACCGAGGAAGAGGAACCGGGTAGAGAGCCAGCCGGAAGTCGGCGAAGAGTCTGGTGCGGTGAGGTCCTTTGTCTTGCCTCCCTGCTTTAAAGAGGAGGGCTTCTTTGAAGGGTTTCCCCTGACTGTAAGCGCCGATGAAGTTGATATTATTAGGCAACTAAGTAAGGAGAGTCGGAGAAAGCATCTGGCCGCCAACATGGTCGGGATGGTCAAGATGGCCGAGATGGATGTTG